AAGAATAGGGTGTAACAAACAAAATCGAGACTGTTGTAGCAGTATTTTTGTTTCCTCACATATCTCCAGACGTGTTCCATTAACTAACAAAGCAGATAAAGCAGTCGACCCAGGAATGAAACCCATACCTCAAGACACCTCTGCATTAGAACTGCTTGGTCAATAAGTCCCTTTCTCCTCTTTATTCCTTGAAGTTTACTGTATGGCCCTGAAAGACTCAAAAAGAATCATTTTTTAAAATTAGAGGAAAAATTGTCTTTAAATTAAAGCTAACAGCATTACCTTTTAAGTCAGATGCTACCCTTACATTCTACAAAACATCCAATTGTTCCACCTGCACGTTTATCCATACAAAATTAGACAAATCAAGATCAAGTTAACCACGTAATAATCAGTAATAAAAACAAAGTGTTCAAGACTTTCACTCATGAAGACATTATTATTGAACCCCTAGCCAGAAAGAATGGCACCATGACAACTGCCATCAGCCATGCCTCTACTCTCAGAGTTCACAACCAAAACGATATGGGAAAGAGCATTTTCTGCAACTCGTTACCTGCATCAGGATCGGCAACACGCTACGCACTAGACCACCAGGCCTCCAGAAGCCAACGTGCACTCGGCCAACAGGTTTAGCCCTGGCGAAGCCCAGCCCAAGGGACTGACCTTCCGCAATGTGCTTGCATGCTCCAGCCCTGGCTCGGGGAATTGATCTCAATACGCGATTTGCTACACAAAACACATCGGGAACGGTCCTCCCAACGGAGGCACGTCCTCCTCCACGGCGTTCGCGGGTTTTACGTGAGCCTCAACATCCAAAGTGGCGTCTCACACAGCCGCTGCTCCGTGTCACCCGGGCAGCGCTCCTGTGCTGCCTGCAACCCCCAGGCCCCATCCGGAGTGGGGACCAGCACTGTGGCCATGAGGCAGCGCGCCTGTATCACCCACAGCTCGGCCCCGTCTTGCATGGGGACTGGCGCCAGGGCTGTGAGACAGAGCTCGGCCCTCAGCGTGAGTGGGGTCTGGCACCGTGGCCGCGAGGCAGAGCCCAGCCCCTGTCCCGAGTGGGGACCGGCACCAAGGTGTGAGGTAGAGCTCCTGCACTACCCACAGCCCAGCCCTGTCCCGAGTGGGAACCAGCACCGTGGCCACAGGGCACAGCTCCTGCACTACCCACAGCCCAGCCCTGTCCCGAGTGGGGACCAGCACCGTGGCCACGGGACACAGCTCCTGCACTACCCGCGGCCCGGCCCTGTCCCGAGTGGGGACCAGCACCGTGGCCAC